CAAGTCCTGGAGAATTCTTAAGATCGTTGACTTGGACGATGGTGCAGATTCCATTAGGACTAAAATCGAGTTTTCTGATGCTTTTTTCTAAGAACTGAATTCTCCAGTTCAAGAACTTAGCTCTCTTTTCTTCGTCGGCGAAGGTGTTTTGGTAGAGTTCCTTGTTTTGGAACTCGCCGTAGACGTTGTAGCAGACAGGGTGGCCTTCCTTGTCGAATCCGTGCATGAACACCACCTTGTCTAATTCATGTCCAAGGTCTTCGTCGAGCAGAGCATCGATCCCTTTCTCTTTCCTCCAGAGCACGGTGTTCTTGATCATGGTGAATGCATCCTTCACCTTGAAATCTCTGGCTCTCAAGAATTTCAAAAGGATCACATCGCTCCTCTCATCTCCGAGAATCGGGATTCCCCATATGAATACCTCCTCCGGTGGTGGAGGAGGAGGCGCTGGGGTTTCTGCCTCTTTAGGCTCCTCAGCCGAAGCAGCTTCCGGTTCGGCTGGAGCCGGAGGCGCCGAGACAGCAACTACAGTCTCCTCGATTGCCTCGACTGTCTTGGCTCCGTCCTCGTCAACAGTGGCCATATGCTCAACCACTTGTGTGACTACCACGACCTCTGCGGGGGCCGCCGGCTCAGCCGGTGCCGCAGCCAGAACCTTTTCTTCCTCCTTAGACTCAACCACCGAGGGCGGCGGCGGGGGATTTTCTTCCTTCACCTCGGTTTTCTCTTCAGCCTTGGCTGGTTCTTCGGTAGTCGCCGGGGGAGTACTTTTCTCTTCTTCTTCCTTCTTCTCCTCTGCAGCTGGCGTCTCAGCTGGTTTTTCCTCCTCCTTCGGAGGCGGAGGTGGCAGAGTGAACTCGTGCTTATTAAGAGCCTCCTGGATGAGAACCTTGAGCTCCTCGAGAGCCTTCTTTTGCGACTCGGGGAGTTCAGACACCACGTTAGTCTCTTCCTTGAACGAAACGGACTGAGAAATCTTCTCTTTCTCTTCTTCCGCAGGCTTCTCCGGCTCAGCAGGTGCAACCTCTGGTTGAGTTGCAGGCTTCTCCGGCGCTTCAGGCTCTGGCTCAGGAGCCGGAGGAGGATCTTTCTGTGCAACAGGCTTGTCACTGGTAACCTCCTCGGCGGGGGGAGGTTCTGGAGCAGGAGCGGCGGCTGGCTTCTGAGTCTCCTCAGCCATGGACAATGAGTCGGAGGCGTGAAGTGATCAAAGAAGAGGTGTCGTGAGAGTCGAAAGAGAGAAGGAGAGAGGGAACAGAGAAGAGAAGGAGAAATGGAGAGTTTAAAAAGGAGAAATGGCAAGTACCAGACTGTCAAGACGGGTTTGCCAGCTGTACAAGAAACTTAGTTTCTGAGGGGCCCGCAGTTAAACCGCTAAGTTTCCGAATAGTTTCGTTTGTCGCCCTCCGAATTTGGGCAACAACGTTTATTTCTGTGTTGGACAAATATTTTTTTAAAAAGAAAATGTTGGTTCTAATTATGGATTTAGATGTAATTATCAGGGAGAAACATAAACTTCTCTTCTTTCAAAATTTTGGTAAATGAATGCCCTACGTGCTTTGTTTTAAAAAAAAATAGATAAATAACTATTTTTATTGTTTTTCAATTTAATATTTACTTGTCTGTTAAAATTATAAATTACATGAAAATAATGACGGTATATATATATATATATAATAATTGTAATATAAGGGAAAATAAAAATGATAAAAGGAAAAAATGGCAAATCAGAACATTTAATTGGCTGAGCCGTCCAGTTCACTAAAACCATGGGCGCCGTTTATCTAATCTCACTGGATTATTATTTTCCAAAGTAGAAATATTTTTCAAATTTTTACATTTATTTCCACCGTTACAAATCTAATTTTTAAGTTGAATAATTATGTTTCTAACTATACATGTTAAGATTAATACGAAATTTATAAGCATTAATTAAATTAAATTAAATTTTAAATAATTTTTTTATGTTTTTAATAAAATTTATATTTTATTTTTAGTAAATAATGACCTGAAGTCTTTTTGACTATTATGGTTACAGAGAATAATAAGGGAAGACTCCTACTTGGGGGAAAAAAACCAGTGACAGAGCTGTCGGAGAGAATAAAATCACGGCAGACAATTCGTGGTTGGACCACCGCGACACAGGTCACGTTACAGCTCTTATTCTTTGGACACGTGGCTGAAGACCTGGACAGGCTGTCGTAGTATCACACACAATCTAATTTGTTTTTTGAAATTTCTGATGATGGAGACATTGACATTATCAACCCAATTCGCATCTTATCTGTTGCGTTTTGATTGTTAAATTTCTTTTTATTTATTTAATAAACTCTGTTAGGTTTAGGAAACGACCGGCGTTAATCACAATCTTGGGAAACTAAATAAAATATTTTATTTTGGATAATTATTTTTGATGATTTAAT